GGGGAATAGGTTTAAGAAAGGTAACAAGGGAAAAAAACAGGAGAAACAAAGACATCGTCAAATACCATCTCATAGAATTATTAATGAATTAATTTATTCTTCCTTCTTAGTTTTATTTATTTTATAGAATGAGAATTCATCCTGTTTCTAAAGTGTGGTTGATGCATAGAGCAACCAAAGGATGTCAATTTAAACTTAAATCGTGTCTCAAGATGTCGTGTGCATTATTTCCTCATTGACTTAACAAACATTAGAAATCACTGAATGTGTTCTGGGAAATGTATGTTCCTTTAGTATTTCAAAAGGAAGATACTGCACCGATGCCAGCATATGAAGCAGGCATAATAAAGTAGATAATAAAGACATCAGAGCAATTGAGAAGTAACTATGCCTTTTACTCACAGATATATCAGCAATTAAGTATGGTAGTTATCCCCTAGAAGTTTCTCTAGTTATGTCGTAAAAGGAGTAGCTCAAACTTACGAGACAAATTCTCAGTGTCTTCATCAAGCTTCCTGGTGTTCAAAGATGTACTACTTGAGGCAGCCTTGTTTGAGCCCGCATTAGCTGCATCACAATACAGGTATCATGAGAACAAATACTATAATCAAATTTCATGAGGATACAAAAGCAGGAACATGTGACTTGGCAACAGTAAAGGGGAACAAAGCATCTGAATGTTTCATGATAAGTGAGCCGAACAAATAAAATAAAATAAGAAGAACTAAGACAGAAAGAGAACACTCCAAACAGTTACTTGTGTTCACACTTGATTGAACCCTTGTTCACAGAAGTGGCCACATTAACAATGATGTTTTTATCTTTTAGCAATTCACCAATCTCAGAATTTACATGAAAGTACGTCAAATAGGACCAAAACTTAGAAAGGTGCTATTCTGGTATAAGACTATTAATAATAAGAAACGACATGAACTGCTTAAGTGAGAAGGAATTCCAAGAGAGCTCCAGTTGGCAAATTCAACGTTCAAATTAAGAACAGTTATAATTTGAAAGGAATTTCTTTATCAAAAAACAAAACATTTGAAAGGAATTTAAGATACTACCACTATCTAACTTCCTAGTAGCAAATATTGGAACAATAAACTCCGAATACAGAAATTACTCTACCAGCACACCAGGATAAGGATATAATAACAATCGACACAAACTTAATCAGTAAAATTGCATGTTTAGTATTTGCAAAGGTAGCCTGCACAACTGACTTTCAGGAAAAATCGATCACATAAGGTATAAAATGCACCCAAAGCAGAGCATTGATTCTAATATACTGCCAAGATTACCATAATCAAAACTACTTGTGATACAGATTATAGTCAAACATAAACTGACATTAGCAATCATAAGCACATATAACAAATTGATCATAGATAAACTGACATATTATGCGGAAATCAGCTGCTAATCTAACATTCAATAAGGACAGAAAGAGAAGTAGCATACACACGTCATTATACAGGTCAACAAATTAAAGTAACAAAATTGCAAGAAATAGCAACCCACTGACTAACAGCAACTACAATTACACCTTAATCCCAAACTAGTTGAAATCGGCTATATGGATCCTCCATGTCCATTAAGTTATACACATACTATCAGAAAAAAGGAGAGAAAATCAAGCAATACAAAATAGGAGCTAGAGATGAAAACAAGTAATTGAGCAAATGGTGAAACATACTAATGACTTCAATTACATCTCAATTCTAAACTAGCTGAATTACTCACCATTTATTCTAGGTTATCAATCAATGTTAATATTAATTAGAATTACTTGCAATTACCTTTTTAAATGACTTGATTGTGTAATTATATTTTAGTCAGTCAGTGCACAAAATTTAAACCCAATTCTCTATACCCATCCAGTTATACACAGAAATTAGAATCACAGACTATCGAACAAAACAAGGGAAAAAAAGACCTACAGATGATAAGATGAACACAACCTAACAACTACTATACTACAATCTCAAACTAGTTGAGGTGAATTCTCCAAATTATCCCTGTCAATTCACCGAATACCAACAAAAAAAAGGAGACAGAGAAACAAGCAATACAAAACGAGCTAGGGAAGATTAAAGTGATTTTTCATTTGAAAAAACTGAGTTAAAAAATCTTACTTAACAAAAACAGCTCACAACAAGCACTTTTTACAAAAAAAGTTCTACTATATGCGATAATACGGAGAGGAAATCGTGTTTAAGAGAGAGACAACAACAACAAGAACAACAACCCAGTATAATCCCACAAGTGGGGTCTGGGGAGGGTAGTGTGTACGCACACCTTAGCCCTACCCCGAAGGGGTAAAGAGACTGTTTCCGAAAGACCCTCGGCTCAAGATAATAAAAAGACCAAAGAAGAGAATATTAGATTCACCACAGAGATCATAGGGAAAAAAAAACATAAAATGCAGAAGAAAAATGCAAAGCAAAAACGATAGCTATTAAATGGATCCTGCTTCGAAAGTAGAAAATAGTAAGACATGACACTGCCCCTAGCTATCTTAGACAAAACCCCACCGGAACTTGGCTCACAAAGGAACAAAGTAACGCAAGACTCAACAACCTCCTATCCTATCAAGTGTCATGTCCTCGAAAATCTGAAGTCTCGCCATATCCTTCCCGATCACCTCTCCCCAATACTTCTTACGTCGCCCTCTACCTCTTCTCGTGCCTTCCACGACCAGCCGCTCACACCTCCTTACTGGAACATTTGGGCTTCTCCTCTATACATGCCCGAATCATCTGAGCCTCGCTTCCCGCATCTTGTCATCAATAGGAGCCACTTGCACCTTCTCCTGTCATCATTCCTAATCTTATTCATCCTAGTGTGTCCGTACATCCACCTCAACATCCTCATTTCTGCTACTTTCATCTTTTGGATATGTGAATTCTTAACAGGCCAACACTCACCCCATACATCATGGCTAGTCTAACCATCGCTTTATAGAACTTACCTTTGAGTATCGTTGACACTTTTTTGTCACACAAGACTCCAGATGCCAAGGATAAGGTACATTTTTTAACAGTTTCGATCTCAGCGCCGGAGCGACGGGCGGCGTTGACTGCTTTCTCGTCCTTGCGAGCGGAGATAGAGAAAATTAAAGTGGTTTTTCATTTGAAAAAACTGAGTTAAAAAATCTTACTTAACAAAAACAGCTCACAACAAGCACTTTTTACAAAAAAGTTCTACTATATGCGATAATAAGGAGAGGTAATCGTGTTAAGAGAGAGAGAGAGATGAAAGGATAAGGTACATTTTTTGACAGTTTCGATCTCCGCGCCGGAGCGACGGGCGGCGTTGACGGCTTTCTCGTCCTTGCGAGCGGCGGCGGTAGGCGCTTTCTTCCGAATTACGACGGGTTCCCAATCTTGTGCTATTCCGCTCATCTTTTTTCTTATTTGAAAAAATATCTCTATTCTGTATATGGATTTTTGGTTTTTTTGGCTGCTACTATTACTGTTGAAGAAAAGCATTTGTCGTAGACTTATATAGGAAAGGACTTTAGGAATATTTTTGTTGCGAGGTTTCCTTTCTACCCCGGCCGTCTAATTTGACGGGACCCTATTCATATAACTAGGGGTATTTATAACGACGACGACAACAACAATAACTATCCAGTAAAATTTCACTAATGAAATCTGGGATGGTAATGTATACGCAGATCTTGCCCTATTCCAAAGAGTAAAGAAGCTGTTTTCGAAAGACCATCGGCTCAAGAGGACGAAAATACAATATCAGTACCACAAATAGAAACAATAAGAAAAATAACATCATGAAAATGAAAAAGTAGATGCAAACCAAAAGCGATAAACAGTACATAGACTTGGCACCATGGAGAACGAAAGAATAGTAAGAAGCAACATTGCAACTAATTGACTTCGACAAAAATCCTACCAGACTAGCCTCACAGTGGTACGAAGTAAGGAAAGACTCAACTACCTCCTAACCCTCAACCTTAATACTCGAGCTCTGCAGCTTCCTATCAAAGGCCATGTCCCCGGAAATCTGAAGCCTAACCATGTCCTGTCTAATCACCTCTCCTCAATACTTCTTAGGCCGCCCTCTACCTTTTCTCATGCCCTCCAAAGCCAACCGCTCACACCCCTTTACTAGAGCATCTGGGCTTCTCCTTTGTATGTGTCCGAACCATCTAAGCCTCGTTTCTCGCATCTTGTCATCAATGGGAGTCACGCCCACCTTCTCCCGAATATCTTCATTCCTAATCTTGTTCATCCTAGTGTGCCCACACATCCACCTCAACATCTTCTTGACATGTGAATTCTTAACAAGCCAACACTCAATCTCATACATCATGGCCACCAGCCTAATTATGAGTGTTCATAAAAATCGAAAATATCGAACCAAACCGAAAATCAAATCAAACTGACCAAAAAAATTGATACTTTTTGGTTTGGTTTTGAATTTTAAAAATCGATCAAATCTGATTTAATTTAGATATTAATAAAAAAAAATAACCGAAAAAAATAGAACCAAACCGGCTATAGAATTAGCTATTTCAAATTTATTATTAGACCTATATATATGTATATTTTTGTACAAAATTTCTAGAATTTTATGGTACATGTTAATCGTTTGCATTTTAGTACAGTTCTTTTCCTTTACATTCTAGTTGATTGGTAGTTTTCTTTTGCTAAGTATAAGAATTCATTTCATGTTAAAAATAGTCTACTTTTAATTAAGTCTTTAAATTATTCACTACTATTTGATTCAATTATCATCAATATATTTTAGTAAATGATAGATTTCTCAAAGTGCAATTGATTTGATAGTGTTACGTTGAAAATGTAGTCGCTGGAATATGTGTTTGGTAGCATATGTCTCATATTTAAGAAAAAATCGATAAATAACCGAAAAAATAAAAAAACCGACAAAACACAACATTAACCAAATCGATAAAAAATGACTTAATTGGTTTGATTCTAATATTTAAAAACCGACTTACTTTGTTTGGTTTCTTTTTAGGAAAAAACCGATTCAAGCCAAATCATGGACACCCTACATATAATCATATCGGTTCCATTTTAGTTATCATTTTAGCTCTTTTCATTAGGAAAAGGTATAATTTACTAAATTATTCTTATTAAATATTTTTTGAGAATTTTACAATATTAAAACGAACTATTTCTTTTACTATTAAGAATATAGTTAGAAATAATTAATAAATTTAGTCCTAAAATTCTAAAGTAACAATTATTTTGGGATAAATTTTTTAAACTAAAATGGCAGTTAAAATGGAATGGAGGAAGTATTAAAATACGTTGATTAATAATAGTAAAACTTAGTTTAGATTAGAAAAAACGATAACTAAAATTTGATTAGTTAAACATTTTTATTAAGATTAAAAATTTTAAATTAGAACTTGTGGGTGTAAGTCATATTTCATGTATTTTAAAAGAAAAAGTTAAATATGTTTTGAAAACTGATGTCCAAACACATTTTCATCTTCAGACCAAACTTCACCCAAAATCAAATTTTTCAAAATAAATTTGGGAATCTATGGTCAAACGCTAGCTAATAGCCTGTTTGGCCAAATGCACTTTTGGCCAAAAATTGATGTGTTTGGCTAGGCTTTTGGAAGGAAAAAAAGTGTTTTTGAGGAGAAGTAGAAGTAGTTTTTGAAAAGCAGAAAAAAGTAGTTTCTCTCCAAAAGCACTTTTGAGAAAAATACACTTAGAAGCAGTTTTTTAAAGTTTGGCCAAACATTAATTGCTGCTCAGAAGTGTTTTTCAAACTAATTAGTTAAACACAAACTGCTTCTCACCAAAAGTAGTTTTGAGAAAAGCACTTTTGAAAAAAAGCATTTCTCAAAATAAACTTATAGCCTGTTTGGCCAAGCTGAAAAAATCAGCTTATTTTGACAAGTGCTTTTTTTCAAAAGTGTTTTTCTCAAAAGTACTTTTGGTGAGAAGCAGTTTGTGTTTGGCTAATTAGTTTTAAAAGCACTTCTGAGCAGCAATTAGTGTTTGACCAAGCTTTAAAAAACTGTTTCTAAGTGTATTTTTCTCAAAAGTGCTTCTCAAAAAAGTACTTTTGGAGAGAAGCTACTTTTTTCTGCTTCTCCAAAACTGTTTCTGCTTCTCCTCGAAAGCACTTTTTTTTCCTTCCAAAAGCTTGGCTAAACACCTCAAATTGAGACCAAAAGTGCTTTTGGCCAAAAAAAAACACTTTTGACCAAAAAAAAGCTTGGCCAAACAGGCTATAATTTTTGCAGTTTGGCCAAACGGGCTATAAGGCTCTAAAAGCACTTTTGGGCCAAAAACAGTTTTTTGAAGATTTGACGCGTTTGGCGAACACCAAGAAGTGCTTTTGAGCAGCACCAGAATCAGTTTTTTTTCTGCTAAAAATTATAAATTTCTGTAAAACATTAATTTTTTTCAAGATAACATTATTCTTACCAAAAAAAAAATTATATTTATCAAACAACCTCTCAAGAACTTATATTTACAAACAACTTCTCCAATCTGTCTCCTGTTAGAAGAAAAGCTTCTTCTCGTAGTTGCCTTTAAGGACTTTCTGGTTGCGACGTTTCTTTCTACTTCCGACCGTCTAATTTGACTTGACATCTTTCATATAACTAAAGGAAAATTAAAATACTAGTAACTGATTTGAACGTTAAGATATTTTTGTTAGTAGTAAAATTTCATTTAGAAGAGATAAATCAATAACTAAACTTTCGGAGGGGTTTTGTACAAAAGGACTCCGGATCTTGGACTGTTGAGATGCATAGATGCTAGAAAGGTCACGGCTATCATGAATGAAGTACATTCTGGAGTTTGTGGACCGCATATAAATGGGTACGTGTTGGCAAAGAAGATCCTCCGAGTAGGTTATTATTGGTTCACTATGGAGCGAGATTGTATTAGTTTCGTGCGCAAGTGTCATTAGTGCCAAGTGCACGGAAATTCGATTCATTCTCCACCATCTGAATAACACCAACAACAACATACCCAGTATAATCCCATATAATAAGGTCTAAAAAAGATAATATCTATATAAATCTTACCCTTATCTTGTGAAGATAAAGAGACGGTTTTCAATAAACTCTCGTCTCATGGACAATAATTAAACTTTGATTAGTTAAATAGATTAAGCCCCAATTATTTTTATTAAGATTAAGATGTTTGAACTCGAGTAGAAAGGAAAATTAAAGACAATTTATATGACCGACCCCAACTACTTTAGGATTGAAGGGCAATTGATTGATTGATCCATCAAAAGTCCCGAATCCGTATTTTTCTATAAAAAAAAAAATAGAAGAATTTGCATGAACCGATTCATTGATCAAATCACACACCTTCCCAGATTCGACTTATTTCCCCGAAACAGTAGCAGAAAGAGTGAACTTGCCCAGCGAGGGCCGATATCAATGTTATCAATAAGAAAGAGAGATGGTTTCTACTCCCTCAAGAAGCGAACCATTATTGAACATGGGAGACGAGTTCCTCAGTAGTAAAGCATGAGGACATACTCTTAATTTCAGTTCCACAATAAAGAGTGGCCGAGCCTACGTCATCATTTGTGGCAGCGGGGGCCTCCAAAAAAAAAAGAAAGGTTCCGCAATAAAGAGAAATCAAAAGGTATCATCTAATTAACAGTACAAACTGGTTTACCTAGATCGCTAACCTAAAGTTAAAGTTGTTCCTCATTCATCTAACTAACAATCATCTCTATCAAACGCGTAAGCCATTTCACCTCGCATTCTCAAAGTTCACGAATAATATGGCCATCGATTGCTATCTCTTTAGAAACATCTGCAACAATCCTATCCTCTTGCAATGGTTCCTGTATGACATAAAGTATCCATGTTTCGATCAAAAGTAACGAACTGAAATATGAGACTGTTAGAAGTTTAAGAGAGCAAGAGGAAACTAGTACGGAATAGTGATACAACTGGGAGAGTACAAATCCCAGGAATTGAGAACTCTGTACTACAAACACTTTTCTCTTCGGCGATGGAGACTGATTCATCCATTTCCACATATATAAGTAGGACAAGTGAACTATGTGAGATAAGTTTCATATTTACCTGCAGTCCTTTATATTTTATATACCTTAACCTTTGTGTAAATAATGACTGCAATTCCTTCTGGTAGAACTGGTAAAAGAGAGTGAAGTGTGATTTATAACCATGTGATCCATAAGTAGTTAGCTACATGTTTATCAGATATTAAAAAATGGGTATATTCGATTTCTGGAAGAGATACACACAGCAAAAGTGGTAGTTCACAAACTATTCCCCTCAGAAACGTAAGATAAATAAGACAACTCATAAGTAGATTTTAATGGAACAAAGTTTATACGAGGAAGCGCCAGACGAAAAAACCTTACCAGACAATTCAATGCACCCTCGGCATTCCCCTTTGCTGTTTCAGGTATACCAACGCTAACATCTTCCAAGCTTCGATTAGCACTAGCTTCAATCAGAGGATTGTGCTAGAGACAAAATACAAGTCAGCTACCACTAACATAAGCTCCTCTAATTCTGTCAAATTTGTAAGGTATCTGACCAAGTACATAGAAGCTGCAGAAAACTAACCTCTAATGCTGTGGAATGACCACCATTTTCTTGCTGGTTTTCAGTACTGAAAGACTCTTTTTGCTGAGATAATTCGTTGCTGCCAACATTTACAGTATTTGTGGTATTACTTTGACCACTCACACCATTTATAGCACCATCATTCTCATCCCCCTGCAATATTTCGAAATACTTGCAGATTCATTTTATGAGGCAACGCGGTAATATGAACAGCCAGTATGCCAGTTCGCTTGGCTGAATCAATACGAACTATAATGGTTTTGAGCTTATACCTGCATCGTCAATCACGTTGGCAACTTGACCACAATGATGTTAACTTATTTATGTAAAAGGGGAGAATAATTTTATTTCCTTCACCCCCCCCCCCCCCCTCAGGAGGGGGCCAGGAAAAAAGCCCCCCAAAGACTCACTTTATGAAAATGATCTCTCAACATTGGCAGCATCTTGACATCCAGGCACATTTTATTCCAATACATATAAAGAAAAATTAGGGGTTCTCTAGTCACACTTGTACCCCAAGACCTCATGTAGCTATAACACCAACAATTATGCCGTAATCCTAAATGTGATGACTATGTCCAATTAAACCTCAATTGCGTATCAGTAAATAACCTGAATTATCAGACAATCACTTATTCACAAACTTCGTGTGGGGAAAATAGTTTTCATTTTTCCTATCTCATGAAGACCCTTTTCGCTCCGCTTAGCCTTATCCCCCTCTAGGGGTATTTTAGAGCCTTCACGATTTATCAGAAGAATCATAAAGCTTATAATCTGTAGATAACACAATGGACGGAAGCCTATTAATGTCCCATCCAAGAATTTCATAAATGACTTGACCAAGCCCTACGTGTTCGCGTGTTGGTTTAGCATAATGTTGTATTCTGGGCCGGGGCCGGGCCTAAATTGGCCAAACGGGCCGGACTTAACGGGTCTGGGCTTAGCGGGCCTGGGCTCTGGCGGTCCCGGATCTCACGGTCTCGGACTTCGTGGGCTCAACGGGTGGAACCAGCCCGTGATGGGCCTAAGCCCATATGGTCCTGTGCTAAACGGGTCGGGCTCGTGGGCTTAGCGAGCCTAACGAGCTTTTTTTATTTCCGGGCTTTTTTTAAAAAAAAATTTGTTTAAGGCAATTTCTTGTAAACCATATCATGGCTATATAAAAAATATATATGTAGTATATATGTAGAAATCTAATTATTAAAGTGCTTGACGAAAAAGTAAAATAACAAAACAATAGTAAAACTAAATTGTCATGCATAATAAATTAATAAGAAAGTACAACATGAAGCATAAATACGTCTAATAATTTTAAAATAACACAAATTGTTGAAAAATCTTAAAGACGAATTTGCGGATAAATACCATCAACACAATA